AGAAATATTATACCTTTTTATTTTTAAGAGGAAAAAAATATAAGTGAAATACCAATAATGATATATTATCTTTTTGTCTCCACAGTTTATATACAAATAATAAAAGAAAAAGACAAAAAGAGGAAGATAAAAGAAGAAAATGAATACATGATGCTCTTGAAAGTTATAAAAAAGGTGCCAAGATTCATGACATTGAAGTAGATGTTATTGAATTGAAAACCTAGAACAAAGAACTCGTAAAATTGATACAAGCATTCATGGAACACTGCAATTAGCACGAGTGAGATTATTGAAAAATCATGATATACTACAAATACAAAATATTTTTCATATAATAAAAAAAACTACAACAAACATTATTTTACTTGAAAATTTCTTCTTCACTTAAAATAAAATGCCGTTTGTTGTGAAAAGAAATGGAAAAGAGTATCACACCCGACAAATATACTATATCAGTATGACTTTATTATGACCTCATCTAATTTTACCTAACAAAATACTCTTACGCTTTTGAGTTGCATTTTACATAAGATTAAATATTATGAATCTTGATCAAATTTGGGTATTAGGCTTCCTTCATAGAGAAAAAGTTCAAAATTTGAGAAGTTCATTTTATGTCTCACTTAACCTAGTGGAAAGGAGATTGAAGAGAGAGAGAGACAATTACTTATAGAACACCAATACATTGAGAGAGAGGAAGAAGAAAATTTTGTTCATATTTTTCGTTGAGCTGTCATTGTAAAATCAATACTGAAGATTCATTCACCATTGGATCGTGCTAAAAATTGGACAATAGGTTTGGGAAATCCTGTTATTCATTTTGACCGTTCGGATTGTTGACATGAGGTCTAAGTTGAGAGAAATTCAGTTTGCACTGCAACTGTGTATTTAGGTTTTCTTTATCTTCTTTGCTCTCTATTTGCAAGCTTTGTTGCTTTGCTGTTTGACTGGATGTTAGCATTATTTTTGTGCAGTTGATTAAGACTCCTTTGTTTGAGTTGACGACTTATGTTTTTTTTCCCTAACTTAGAGGGGTTTTCCACATTAAAATTTTTGGTGTCTTTGTTTGTGATTTTGGTAATTTATTGCTTTTGTTCATTAGTAGTTGCTCCTCATAAATTTTTTCAAGTTAGAAGAAATTATATCTAAGGTATTATCTTGTATTTTGGTTGTGTTGTTGTTTTTCCTCTCAGAATGGCATCAAAGCTCTTGCATTGGATGATGGAAGCAAATGCAAAAATGATTGATTTGAATGGTACAAATTATCATTTGTGGAAGGGCAATATGAAAGACTTATTATTTGTGAAGAAATTGCATCTTCTCGTCTTTTCTACACAAAAGTCGGATTCTATGTCTAATGAAGAATGAGACTTTGAGCACAATAGGTGTGTAGGAGAATATTGAGTCTTTCTATGCTTCTAAGTTGGACAATAATAAATTGTAATTTTTGAACTGCTTGGTGAATTTAAGGTACATGAAGAAATCTTCCATTTTAGATTATTTAAATGAGTTTCAAGGGTTCCTAAATCATTGATGATGAAGTCTTAGGATTATGACTACTGAATACTCTACCAGACTCTTGGGATATATTTTAGGTTTTATTTACAAACTCAGTCCCGAATGACATTGTTTCTTTTTAGATGGTAAAGAGTGATGCTCTTAATGAAAAAATGAGAAGGAAGACATATGATTCTTCATCTCAGTCTGAGATGCTTGTCATATAAATTAGGGGAGAAATAAAAAAAAAAGGAACAGAAAGGTGGTAGAGAAGAGCAGAAGCAAGTACAAGTCAAGATATAAGAATATATAGTATCATTATTGTAATTAAATTGCACACATTCCAAAATATTGTTTTAAGTGGAAAATGGACAGTAAAGACAAGAAGGGCAAGCAGAAAAAGAATGATAATGGTGATGATCATGTCACTACTACTACAAATGATGATTTTGTTCTTCTTCATGACTTTGTGTCATTTAATCTGGCATCTGATGAGAGCATGTGAATTATTGATAGTGGTGCTACATTTCATGTTACATCGAGGAAGAAGTTCTTCACATCGCACTTCTAGTGATTTGGGAGTGTTGAAGATGGATAATGATTGAGTGTCTAAGGTGATTGATGTTGGTGATGTTTACATGCAAACCGACATGGGAATGTAGTTGTTTGTTAAAGGAGTTAAACATGCTCTTGATGTCCGCTTTAACTTAATCTATGTGCAAATGCTTGATGATGGTGGTTATGATAATCACTTTGGTTATGGAAAGTGGAAACTCAGCAAAGGTAACTTAGTTGTGGTTAGAGGAAAAAAATTAGCTAAACTGTATTGGCAAAAGCTTTGGTTTCTAAAGACATTATGAATGCCATGGATATGGAGGAATCTTTGTAGGACTGAAGGCTCAGTCATATCAGTTAAAAATGGCTTAATTGTTTAGCTAAAAGGATGTTCTTCAAGGGTTAGAAAGTGTATAGTTGGAGATATGTTCTTATTGCATGGCTAGTAAGAAAACCATGGTATCCTTCAAGAAGCATCTGGCCTCAAGGAAGTCACAATTGTTACAATTAGTGCATTTTGGGGTTTGTGCTGGTTAAAGGTAAATTCATTTAGTGGTGCCCTTTACTTTGCTAATTTTATTGATGATTGTTCCAGAAAGTTTTGGGTCTATGCACTTTAGTGAAAGGTTCTAGTACTTGAAAAGTTCAACGAATTTCATCCTTTAGTTGAGAGGCAATCATGCAAAAAGATGAAATGCATTCGTATTGCTAATGGTGGTAAGTATCGTGGACCGTTTGATGCTTATTGCAAATACGTGGTATTTCACATAAGAAAAGTCCTCCTAAAACTCCTCAACTGAATGGTTTAGTTGAGAGGATGAACAAGACATTACTTGAAAAAGTGAGATGTATGCTCTCAAATGCTAAATTACCCAAGGATTTCAAGGGTGAGGCATTATACATGATGGTGCATGTTATCAATCTCACTCCTACTATTATTCTGATAGTGACGTGCCATATAAAATTTGGTTTGGCAAGAAAGTAAGCCATAATTATTTGTTTGTCTTCAGTTGCAACACATTTGTTCATATTCTAAGGGATGAAAGATCCAAGTTGGATTCGAACACTAGGTAGTGCAGCATTGTCTACTACAGAGGTGGAGTTCATTGTCCTTACTAAAGCATGCAAGGAGTTGCTATGACTGAAGAAATTCTTGTAGGAGCTTGATTTTATGTAAGATAATTATCCATTGTTTGTTGATAATAAGATTATTATCCATTTTGATAAGAATCCAACTTTCCATTCTAAATCTAAACGTATTGATGTAAGGTATCATTAGTTACATGATGCTTTGAATGTTAAGTTGCTAGAGCTGGAAAATGTTATTGTAGATGATAATGGTGCTGACATGATGACTAAAGCATTGTTAAGAGGAAAGTTTGAAGTTTGTTGTGAGATCATCAATTTGACGGTTATCTCGACATAGTAAGGAGAGATAGAAAAAGAAAGAGTCACATTCACTTAGAGAACACTAACATATTAAGAGAGAAGAAGAAGAAAAATATGTTCACATTTTTCACTGAGTTGCAACTTTAAAATCGATATTGCATATTCATTCATCGTTGGATCATACTGAAATTTGACAGTTGGTTTGAGACATCTTGTTCTTCATTTTGACAGTTCGGATCATTCCTATGAGGTTTGAGTTGGAAGAAATTCAAGTTGCACTATAGTTGTGTATTTAGATTTTATTTATCTTGTTCTCTATTTGCAAACTTTGTAGTTTTGTTGTTTGATTAGAAGTTATAATTATTTTATGCAGTTGATTGAAATTTTATTTTACTCTTTATTAATTATAGTAGAATTATTTCTTTGATTTAAATGACTAATGATTTTTTTCTTTAAAAAATATTGAGGTCTTTGTTTGTTAGTGCATGATTTTTGATAATTTATTGTTGTTAATTGAGAATTACTCTTCATAGATTTTGTAAATTAGGAGAAATTATATCCACTGCATTATTTATTATTTTGGTTGTGTTGTCAAATTGTGACTTTATATCATATATTCTAATCATTATATTAGACCCTCTGCAGAGAAAAAAGCAGCACCTTAAGTAAATCATTGATGCAGAACATACAAAAACATCTCTTGGCAGGGTATTCTACATTGATATTCAAATCATTGTATATTATTATGGCACAAAGAATGTTAGATGTTCCAAAGCTCATCTAAGTAATGGGGAATCAAGCGATATTGCAAGCCAATATTCTAGAAAAGTGACCATGTCCATTAGGATTGTTAATCAGCTACACACTTTTCCTGGCAAGAATCCATAGCTTGAAATAACAGTCTCAAAGGCTTGTAGCTTTTCTCCACGTTTCTGGAGGCCATTGCGATCATAGGATGATATTTCTTTTATATTGAGATCATCACAAGCTTTGACAAGTGCCTCCCCAACACGTTGAGCTGCTTCCTGAAATCATGTTATGCCAAAACAAAAAATACAAAAAATCCAAAACATAGACCTCATGAGACTAAAAAAACAAAGGAAACAGATATTTCATGGCATAAGTCTTCATTAAACGAATGAGTTTTAATTTTGGAATCCATAGAAAATTTTCTGTTTCTCATTCCTATGAAACTTGAAATCACTCTTAGTCTTTATAAAAAGTGTAAATTATGAGTTTAGTCTATAAAATATTTTCTTTCAATTTTAATCGATCCAAAATTTTAAACCATTACTTTTAGTCCTCAACATTTATTTTAAGATAAGTAAATAAATATGACATTACATTACACCAACACTAGTATGTGTTACTTAGAATAATCATCTAACTTTTTATTCAACACTTATTAATGTCATATAATAGGAATAAAAAGCATTAATTTTTAAATAGCAACCATAAAATAAAGAAAAGTTTTTCCATGAACTAAAATCAAAATTAATTTATTTTATAAGTACTAAAGCGTATTTAAACTTTAAGAATATTATTCTTATAATCAAAACTTATTTATTTTATTATGGGAACTAAATGCATTTAAACCTGTAATAATATTATTCCAATAGACATGTTTGGTTGATATTTAGTAATTTTAGACAAAAAAAAGAAAAAATATATATATATATATATATAATTTATCTCTAATAAAAAATAAAAGCGAAAAAGAGTTAAAGAAGAATGTGGCAGAGATGGGTAGTTACTGTAGATTATAAGTTTTATTCCAGAGGAAATATGAATACCTGCCCCTTTAATAGATAAACCAGTAATATATTTTCTCATCCTAATATTCCCGAAAATAAAAGGTAAAACATGCATTCCCTGCCCCATGCAATGTTTGTTTATAAGAAAAGGTGGACTACTAATACTACTTACAAGAGTGCTACAAGAAGGATCTTGTCGGATGGATTTCTGCAGCGTGCTTCCATAGAACAAGCAACTCCTATTTTTGTCATCTACAAGCATTGCATATAGTTGTTTATCTGAGCAAAATACCGAAAGCCTCGGATGTGTAGCTGTTCCATTATACTGAGAAAAATATCATGCATGATATTAGTAAGCGATAACTGAAGGAACTGAAGTTAGTAGTGCGGTGCAATATAACTGAAGGAACTCTGAAACTTTCATCAACTTTCTTTCAGTTAAAAGTGATGCAACAACTTGTCACCTGTTATGTTATAGTCTGTTAAATATAATACAATATATAGAAGGACTCTTGGAGAGACAGAATTTACTAAAATCTGAAACTAACTAGGAAAAATTGGATGACATATATAAGGAAAATAGCATAGCAAACATGCATTCGGTCTGGAATGTAAAATGTGTCTGCAGAACACCTCACCAATGCAAAATATAGCTGCAAATCTACAATAGATATGACAGTACTAAAGGTGAAAGGTGAATTATATAACGAAGACATACCTTTTTCAGCATCCTTCTGTTCCGAATTTTTGCACTTTCTGTTCTAGTATTTGCTCTACCTCTGGCTTCCACCAGTAATGGCTTCTTAGTTATACCTGGAAGAACATTCAAAGTTCATAGCAATCAATATCAAAGTCACGCTGAACTTTATGTCCATGTTTAGATATTATCATGTGATGAATTCTATGAGCTATTGCTGTCGTCCACGTCATAAATTCAAATTCCAAAGAAGCTAGCACATTGCATAGCTAAGAAATTACAGTCCCGAGAACACAACAAAAAGCCCAAGATTAATTTCTGCTTAACTTACTTCTACTCTGTGCCTGAAAGCAAACAAACGATTTTGGATGGATTCCAAAGAGAGCAGAATTCTTAAAGTGTAGCATTGGAGCATTCATTAGAGCCATATTGTCCATGTCTCAAGGACTCCGTGCTCTGCAAAAACATCAAAACTTGTATCACAAGCAGCACATAAGCAAGAATGTTTCTCACTGGAATTTTAGCAAATAGTTTGTGCGCGGTTCATTAAAGCAGCAGTCTTGCTCAGTTTGATTAGACATTGAAGGAAAAATTGACCTCTGTTGAGCTCAAAACGGTAATCGAAGAGAGCAGCTATGTTGGGATTATTTTGACTTTTTATAATTTCAAATGGGTCTTGAAACGGCTTTAAGTATTAAATTGCTAGCAGCGAAATGACAGAGAGGTTACAAACCCTGGGAACAGTTTTCTTAGAGTAGGCTACTTGGTTTGTTGTATTTGTGAATCAAAGGTTTTCAGGTCACACCAGGGCCACGTGTTGCATTGTACGACTCAGATTCATCGCTTGCAACTGTAAAGCAAGTTGGATAGAAAAAAATCCTTCGTCGATGGTTATTGTTTCCTCCAAATGGATTTCTTTTTAAAATGATTTTTTGACAGAGCCATTACACAATCCATTAAAAGTAAATTCTTTTACTAATAGAAAAAAAAATTCATAAATAAAAATTGAATGTCAAGTAGATGTAAAATTGTACTGAGTATCAAAATAACATATGACATGATTTTTTTTAGGTAGTTAATAAAATAATATTTAATATTTTGATGGACTAAAAATATATATATATATTTTTTTATTTTGTATGAATTTTTAAATTTGATAAAAAAAACTTATGTATACTTGGTATGAACATGAATATTCAATCTTTTAAATCAAATTTGATGACAAGATAATTTATATAATATTTTTATAGTCATTTTTTGTTAAAATACTTTTTCAACCTTTAGTTTGTTTGCAAAATTTAATTAGACTCTTACATTTTATTTGGTTCAATTAATTTTTTTTTTAATTATAAAAAATATTCAATTAGATCTTTTATGTTAAATTAAGGTTAACGTTCTGTTTTTACATGTGTCACTTTGTGATATTTTTTGCAATTTTTTTAATTATTATTTTTTATATTTTAATAAAAAATTGCTGCATATGAAGTCATTGCTATTGCTAGTGTCATAATGTTGACTATTAATATTACTTAAAAAGTGTCATGTATTCCATTTAATTTATATATTTAAAATTTTGATTTAATTGAATTCAATTTTTTTCAAATAGAACATTGTTTTTTTAAAATGGAACTTAGTAATTAAACTTAATATATATATATATATATATATATATATATATAATAAAATAATTTTTTAGAATTTATATATTAAATTATTCAATTCAAAATATTCAAATTAATTTTATTTTTTTACATTTTTAATTTCAGTAAAAGAATTTAAACTTATCATTTTTTTTAAATATTAAAAATAAAAATATAAAGTGACACTTGTAATTTTTATATAAATTAAAAAAGATGTAAAATATATTAAGTTAAAAGATTAAATGTATTTCTCACATTAAATCTATAAATAAGTGAGCAAAGAAAATACACTTTTTTTTAATTATTTCAAAAATTAAAATTTAAAAATTACAAGTGCAGTTTTACATTTACATTTTTAATATTTTGAAAAAATTATAAATTTGAAAAAATATTTTAACATTACATATAAGTTGTATTAGACTTAATTACTAATTTGGTTTTATTTTGGAAAAAAACAATATTATTTCATTTTAAAAAATATTAAAACTCAATTGTATCAAAATTTTAAATATATGAACCAAATTTGAATACAAAACATTATCATGTGACAAATGACACTATTAATAATGTCATTAATTTGTTGGGGTGAGTAAAGTAGTCCAACAAGTGGAACACGAGTTTTATTTGTTGGGCGATCAGGATAATCGACTGATGTTGAAACTTTTAAAAATTAAAATAAATAAACTTAGAAATGTTGGGTTTCCTAATGACAACAACTTGTTTAATGTCTTATAGCTCGGTGCCTATAAGCTCAAATATATGTTCTTTTCAGGTGTTGCCTCACTTCAACACCTGAATGGTCTCAATCTTTATCGGGCAACTAGTTTAGTTCAGGAGCTTCAATTTCAACACTTTTATAAGCTTTGACTTCTTTAATAACCCACAATCTTTATCCTTTTGATTATGTTCTTCCATTGAAAAAATTTAGCTTGGGTTTCTTTAAAAAATTATGTTAGCCTAGTCTGAATTCATTCCTTCTCATCAAATTGTGGTCATGAACTAGAACATTCTTTTTTAAGTGTAGAATAGGAACTCCATTGGTCTTTAGTGTCTCTTTGGTGTGTTTTTGCACACATTCCTCCTCTTTTTCTTTAGCTAATTGTGAAGAGACACACTTGGCATAATCCCTAATTTCAAACACCTTGAAAGACATCTCTTCATCTTGAGCTCTGATTTTCAGTTTACCACCATTAGTATTTATAATTACTAGCGATTTTCATGAATGGTCTGTCCAAAATGAGAGAGGCATCAATGTCTTCTTTTATATCAAGAATGACAAAATCAGTGACTCCATAAGGACATTTGACAAGCCGATCTGGCAGTAAAGTCATCTCAATATTGGTTTTAAATTTTTTATCAAAATTTTCCTCTAATTTCTTTGTGAGTTGAACCCCTTCTCCAAATTATGGATTAAGGCTTATGTGCTCTTGTGATTAGAGATGAAAACTTGCATAAATTTGTTGAAGTGTCTCTTCAAGCTTTGACATCTTTCATGCAAGGAAGGTTGTTGTTGTAGATTTTGTTGATGTGATGGTCTATTTCAAGATCCAACTTGTAGCATATTTAGGTGAGACTTCCATCCTTGATTATAATTCTCATAATTACCTTGGCAACCTTGATTATCCATATAATTCACTTTTTCATGGAAAATATTTTTCATGACATGTTGTTCATTAGCATGATCTCCATCACATAACTCGCAATTTTGCAATTGTTGTTGATGTTGAGCTTGAGCAACATTTTGGAGCTCTTGAGGAAATGTTGAGAGTTTCTTCATAAGAGTTTTTAATTGTTTAGTCATTAGTTTGTTTTGAGTTAATAACACATTTTGAGTTTGAAGCTCCTTTATTAGCTTTTTCTGAATTTGAGTTCTCTCATTTTTTCTCTCAAAATCATTTGAACCTATATTCTCTATCAATTCCTTAACGTCTTTAATTTTATCATAACTTCAGTCTAGGCATCTAACATCAACTTTATCACATGCTCGACTCAATGATTCATCATATTTATATGAATGTTGATAATATCAGGGCTGTTATGGGACATTGTGAACCCAAAGTTGTTGATTCTCTGTGATTGCATTTCGTTTTACTTTTCTTGAAGTGATCCATCCTACTCCTATTCCAATCAAGTGAGATGAGTGATATGAAAGATCTTGTCACATCTAGGGATGACAACCGGTCGGGTCGGGCACAGATAGTGCCTACCCGCAACCCGACTCAACAAAAAAAATTCACCCGTTATCCGACCCGCTACCCGCACGGATATCCACTTAAAAAATACCCACGAATATCCATGGATACCCGCAAATATTTTAAAAAATATAATTTTATAAAATATTATAATAAAACTTAAATAAAATTCAAAAAATATATAAAATATAATATATATTAAATTAAATATAAATTAAAATTTAATTTTAATTATATTTAACCTTATAAAATATAAGTTAATGTTAATTTTAATTAAATTTAACTTATTAAAATATAAATTAAATTTTTATTTTTATTTTTTGTGGGTAGTAGATATTCACGGGTACGATAGTATAATACCCGCATTTGGCTTGTTTATAAGCGGGTATTAAAAAATCCACTATCCGCCACTCACATATATATTCACGGATACCAACTATCCGTCGTGGATTTTATCGTGGATATCCGTGAGCGCAACATCTTAATCTCATCTTATATCATTTGTTTTTTATATGAATAATGGGGAGAATGAGAAATTAGTTTAATATGCATTGAGTGCAAATGGTGCTACTAAATGAGGTTTAAATTAGATGGAAGTCATGACCCACTTTTGCCATGCATGCAGGGATTTGGAATCTTATTGGAGCCTTTTTATTCTCTTTCGGCTTTGCCTTCTGCATGTTTCTAAGGCCATCATATGCCATTTTAATGTATACTAGGTTTCATTTTTATGGCATAGTATATAGGCATGATGCATTATTTTAATGGAACATTTATGTCATGTATTTGGCTAACGTACATTCAATAACGTCATTGGGTCTTAGTATGATATGATTCTATTATGAATGAGCCCTCTATGTAATGTGCATAAGCTTTACTTTTTTTTAAATAATAAAAAAATATAAAATAAAAATGATAAAAATGAAAAAATAGTTTTTTTTTCTCTTTTGTGTTTTTCTGGCCACACGTCAGACACTTATTTTTAAATAATTCAAAAACACCAATAAGAAAATAATTTATCTTTTCTATTTTCTAGCATTTGTATGATCATTCACATAGCATAAGATTTATTTTCAAGAAATTCACAAAATATAAAAAATAGTTTTATATTTCACTTTTTTTTTTGTGTTTGTTCCATCGATCACATCATGTGACACTCATTTTCAAGTAATTAGTTTACACTTAACAAATTGGTTTTTACTATAATGAAACTCTTTTTTCTAATATCATTAAAATTCTCCTTGGGTTAAAGAGATAAAAAAACAAATAAACAATAAGACATACCTCACCAAGTAATGAACATGGTTTTTGTCCTACGAAGAAGACCAATGAGGAGGGAAACTTTGCAAAATCCCATTCACATTTTATAAACCCTAGATCTTAACGGCTAGTTTATAGGACAAAAGCTCATTAGTTATATTCTTTTTCACGTATGAATGTGTTGGAAGTTCCACATATAAAAAAAGAGAAACAAACACATCATTCCAACACTGCCAACGTGTATAATATTTAATTGACGATTTAGAGAAAAAAGACCAAATTAAATATAAATTAAGAAATTTGTGACCATATTGAACATCCAAAAAAAATGAGTCAAACATTGAACAAAGTTAACCAAAATAGGGATCAAAAGAGTATTTAAGCCCACGATTAATTTATATTATATAAATTATTTTATCATAAAAATAAAATTATAATTATAAAAAGAAATATAATTAATTTTTAAAATATTATTATAATCAATTTTATATATTTTGTAGATAATTTTTATTATTAATATTTATTTTAATTTTAAAAAATAGTTAAATTTAAAAAAAATCAAACAATTAAATTAAAAAAATCTGAAAAGATAAAATTAAGAGCAAATTGATCTTGATATAAAAAAACGATTACTTATCGAAAAATAAAATTAAAAAAACAAAGATGTGCAAAAAAAAAATGTAAAACTAAATCTCTTTATAAAATAATAATGATAAAATATTGTTTTAAAATTAAAAATGAATTCCATTCAATCTCATTTTCTAATAATTAAAAAAAAAAATCATCAAAGCCATGTGTTCCACGGTTTACATTTTAGAAGTATATATTTGTTTCACAAAGATCTTGATTATTCTTTTGGTGAGCTCAACACACGCACCAGAATTTTTGGTAATTTTATAAAGATTGAGTGTACCTAATTAGTGTAAGTTCTAGACAGACCTAGATTTTATAGTTAGAAAGATCAATATCGTTGAATTGAAGCATAACAAATAGCAGCCAGAGATTTCATCACACAATTTTTTAATAATATAACTAACTAAGAAGATTAATTAGTAGTGTGACTATGATTTATTTACTTAACCAAAGTTTTTGAATATAGTTGGTAGGCATTATTATTTGCCACCCAGCTGTCCACAAAGATTAATAATTCTCATGTAATTAAAAACATTGAATGTATCACAAATGCAACAGCATGTGATGAAACTATTAACATTAAAATATGCATGCTTTGCTCCATCCATATTTTTTTATTATACTCATACTTCAATTGCTACTGAAGTTCTCAACTTCTTGTCTCATTTATTGACCTAACAACATTATTTACATTTTCACGAAGCAACAGAAACAACTTTCCTTTTATATAAAAAGATAAATGTAAATTTTCAGTTTCTTGATAATTTTAGTCTTATTTTCTAACTAAATCAGAATATAACTTTAATAATCTAGAAATTAAAGATATATATTTAAGATCTGTATAAAAATCTACGGGGATGAAGCTATAATTCTAATTAAACAACACTAAAGATATGTAGTAATTGCACTTTAATTTATATTTTTAAAAACTTAAGAAATAATAATAAATGAATTTAGGAATGATAATGGGGCTGGGATGGTTTCATTATCAATATAAAAATTCATCCCATCTTCATATATTCATGTTTATATCTAATTTTAATGTTTTAATATTAATTAATTTTTATAAAATAAAAATCAATAAAAAATATAATATTATTTAATATTTAATATTAAAGAGATATATTCTCCTATCTTTATATTCTCCTATCTTCGTATTTATTGTCAAATATTGAAAAAAAATTATAACTATATAAATTTTAAATTAAAGTTTATAAATTTTAAATCTGAGAAAGAAGTTTTTAACGTAATTAATAGTGTGTCACGTCCTCAAGATATGTGTAATGATGTTCTTAACATGTCATTTCATTTTTTGTTAGGTCATTGTACACATGTTAATTATAATTTTGTTTATAGTTGTAATTAAAAATAAAAAGAAAACATTAAACGTGTAGGGCCAAAACATGAAATCCCTCTTCTTCTTCATTCACAGATGAGGAATCTTTTCCTTTCTTGATTCATGCCAAACAGAAGCATCCAAGGTGCAACATCTTCAACAAATTTCTTAGCATTGTCATTAATGGAGAGCGTGAATGGTGACGATGATGATGAATAAATGCATTATGTTTAACCCTCGGCTTCACACATGACTTTCTATGCTCACCATGATTCCCCCACCATCTATCACTCATAAACCCATACGAATTTGTCACTAAATTCCATAGATTTTTGCTTCACAACATCCAACTCATAACACTGTTATTCATTACATTTTTCTCATCATTGATCTTTGCCTATTACCAGCCTTTCAATCACTACATCATTAGTGTGTATCACTCTCATCTTCACAGTATCCTCTATTACCTTCTCTATTCCTAAGCTCAACTGCTCCATTATGTATACTTAATATAATTTTGCATTCTATACCCCTTTAAGCACAAAAAAATAAATCTTCTTGTTCTCACATTCATATATGCTACCCACTATCATTTTAACCCTGACGTCTACGACAACATAGAAATGTGCGGTGAGACAGAGGCTTGAATGGGGCTACAGTGCTTACGACAAAGAGTGATGGTGAGAGAAACCTTGAAGGAAAGGGTTGTGTTGGTGACATTGATGTATGACACCAATGATAACCACAGTTACAAGCAACAAGGGCGGTCTAATGGTTGTGACTTTGAATGGTATGCTAGGAGAGCGATGCCATTTTCAATTTTAGAAGAGAGGGAATGGAGGGGGAAAAAGGCTATAAACCTTGGATGCTTTCGTTTGGCATAAATAAAGAAGGAGAAAGTTTCCCATGCGTGAATGAAGAAGTTTTGTCCTACATGTTTAATGTTTTTTTTCTTTTAATTTTAATTACAACCATAAACAAAATTATAATTGATATGTGTACAATGACGTATCTAAAATATCAAATGACATAGTGGGAACATCACTACACGTGTCTTGAGAACATGACACATGGTTAGTCACGTCATAAAAAGCTAACATCTTTGGTCATGAAAGACTAAATATGATGCTTTTTTTTAAAAAAAAAAGACAAAAATAGATCAAAGTTTCAATAAGGAACAAAAATCAAAATGATGTGATAATTTAAGAATAAAAAACATATTTAACTCTATTATTAAGTTGTTATATTATAGTAAATGAAAGATAGTTAGTAAAAATAATTACAATTAGAATAATAAATCAAAAAATAAAAATAATTATATAAAATTTTATCAGTATCACACATAATAAAAATAAATAAAAAATATATTAAAAGTGTAAAAATATTATATTATAGTAATAATTTTATTATATAATAATTTTTATATAAATCATTATAAAATAACTTTTTAATATATTACAAACAAAGGTTTTATTACGAAATGAAAAAGTAATAAAATATTTTATAAATTTAGAATTATTAAACAATCATTCCTTTTTTTTTAGTTTTCAAGCCTTACATAATTTAAAAATAGTATAAAATAATTATTTTAAATTCCTCTAAATATGGTCATGTCTTAATTTAGTGTTTTCTTAATTTTATTTTAAATCTTTTACAATTTTCCAGCGTTAATTTTTAATATTTATTATTAATTATAACTAATGTAAGAAAAAATATAAAATATATTTATTATTTTTACTTTTAAAGATAAAACTTTATTTATAATATATTAGAAAATAAATCACTTTACCATAATTCAAAAATAAGATATTAAAACTACTATCTAAAAAAATTATAAATGTCAACTTAAATTATAATTTCTTTTTAATAAAACTAAAATATTAAAAATACAAAAGTTAAATTAAAATTAGAAACAATATAAAATTATTTAACTTATATTAAATGACAAATATATTAATTAAATATATTAAATTAGTATAATTATATTAGTCAATATCTTTTTACTTTTATTAAACTAACTATTTATATCTATTAAAGTTAAAAAATGTGAGAAATTTTAGGCTAATAAATATTATTTTACAGTGACAAAAAAAAACCCATATTTTTGGAATAAAACTTTTACTCCTAATTCTGAAAAAAGAAAAACTATTTAAATGAGGTGAAAAAGAGATCTACCAAAATGACAGAACAAATTGGAAGTGTTTAGTGAAGGAAGTTGCCTCATGATCTGTCTAAACCAAAAAGCTCTATCCTATAATACAAGGTCTGCACATAGACAACCCAAATTCTTCCTTAAATATCTTGGTCTAATGAATGAGACAGATTGAATTGAATTTTGGGGATAAACATGCTCTGTTACCTCATTGGCACACACAATACAGCACAGCACAACAACCCAAACAACTTCCAGATCCTTCCACAACATTCTGTGAGTCATATCAGTGGGTGCATCCTTCTCCCTCCCCCTGTTTCCCCTTATATTCACTCCCCATTTCCCCTCCTTTTTCCATTCTCAAACAATTTTTCCATTATTTTCAATCATTCATCACACCCTCTTCCTCTCTCACCAAACAAAACAGCTTTTCTGAATAAAAATCATGGCTTCAGGAACTGAGGTGCCGGAGAATTCTGTTTTCGAGAGGTTCGACCGAAACAGAGACATAACTCTGTTTCTTCCCTTTCTCTTTGGCCTCTCGGAGGCCGCCCCAGGAAGAGATGGCGACGACCCACGTCACGAAAACGGGAACACTGAAGGCCCCCAGCGTCAAAGAATCATCTTGGTGAACCCCTTCACTCAGGGCATGGTTGTCATCGACGCCGACTCGCGCCTCGAAGCTCTGTTTCGCGAACTCGGCAGCGGAAAAGGTGGTCGGCCTCCGGCTTCCAAAGAATCCATTGAGGCCATGCCAAGTGTGGAAGTTGGAGAGGGTGAAGATTTGGAGTGCGTGGTTTGTTTGGAGGAGTTTGAGGTTGGTGTGGTGGCGAAGGAGATGCCGTGTAAGCACAAGTTTCATGGTGATTGTATTGAGAAGTGGTTGGGGCTTCATGGGTCTTGCCCTGTGTGTAGGTATGAGATGCCCGTGGAGAAGAATTGCGTGATGAAGAGCGAGGAAGAAGGGGGAGAGAGGAGAAGGGACGGTGGTGATGAAGTTTGGGTTAGTTTTTCTTACAATAGGATTAGGAGAGGCCAGGATCATGATCAAGCTGCTTCTTCAAATGATGATTCTCGATCAAGTCCTGAAGATGCTGCTGCAGAGAGTTAGAGAATGGTTTTGATTTTGGGTGTAGAGTGTTGTCGGTTTTGAAATTGGGGAAGGATTGATAAATATATGTACAGGCAAAATTGCACGAAATTGTTAATTATATGATATATTTTCTTGCAATGAATAAATGATGATTTTTTTACACTTCTTGGTTGCATAGATGTGGATTACCGCGACACAAATTTCTGGAATTGCTATTTGGACCGTGTTGAACTCAGAAATTTATATAATTTTTAGGACTAGCGAGAAAGAAAGAAAGGAAAAATTCATGAAGGTTTTCTTGTTCTCTGGTTCAATGTTAATCAATGAATTGGATGAGATGAGAGTGAATGAATTGAAATGAAATGAATTTACATTGCTGAAGCAGAATTATTATTTTGCATGGTACACACTGTTAGGCTTCTAAGCGCTGCCTTGTTGTTTTTTACAAGCTGGTTTTGTTTGGAAGGTAATAATAGAGAAATCATTTTGTTTTATCTTTGGCATTTGAGTCAGAAACTGCATTCCTTTCGCTCAGAATTTTGAGTCCTTGGTACCTTCCTAGCATGAGAAGGGTGGCCATTGGGTTTGTGCCCGGTGACTCTGAAAAAGTCGAGCCATCCAATATTCTCAATCCCTTTAAACCATAAACCTTGTAGTGCTCATCAACCACTGATCCAACCGTGCAACCTCCATGATAATGATAGATTGTTCTCACATTTTTCTTGCAGAAGTTTCTTAGATCAACATCAGCGGATGTCAGTTTTTCTTGCCGTGACTCACCTAGGAAAAATGCAATAGACTTTGACCTTGCAATTCTGTCAAGCAGTTTTGTCATCTTGACACATTCTTCCATGTCATTTTCACTAGCTAGATAGTTGAACCTCACAGAAGGGTTCAGCCTGGGGTCTGTGTTGTTCAGGTGAAGTGCACCTTTTGAAGTAGGCATAGCTATCTTGGCAGCAACATTAACCCTTGTGGAATTGGAACTTAGAGGAAGTATTGATGCTTCAACTATAATTTTGTAGTCATCTGTTATGCCTGCAATTTGGGGTGGATCAGGAAGCCTATTCTGTGGCTTAGAATCCACCAAAACTGCTATACAAGGGTTGTCTTGCATTCCTTTCCCAACCCCTTCAATGTCACGCACTAACGAAATGTTGAACCTTCTCAGCTGTTCTTTTGGCCCTATGCCACTTAGCAGCAGAAGTTGAGGACTACCCAATGCACCTGCTGCCAATATGACATCACCCCTTGAACTTGAATTCTGGACTTCTTTTATGTAGGCTTCATGTGCTTCATCTAATGTGCTATTGCTCTGCATGAAACTTATACCCTTAGCTCTGGTTTCATTCCTGTAACCTGCACTTCAACGATCAAAATTCTGAATTATGAATTGGTCGCTTAAAAATGCTAATCAGACTCAATCAATTTGAGATATTTTTTTTCCAACTACTGACAAAAAGGCTTATTCAATTTAGACTTCAAACTACCTGTTATAGCTAGTTACAAAAAGGCTTATATTTTTGTTTTACTTACTACTGTGATGAAAGAGGATTCTCTTGACAGTGGCATTTATGAGAACTGTGAGGTTCTTTGGGTTCCCTGCATTCAGAAGGTCTGCTGAGGTATGTCTCTTTCCAAATTCATCAAACACACTTCCAGAAATCTTGGTTCCCTTGATATGTTCCAAGCTGAAGCCATTGTATGGTAAAACTCCTGCTTCAAGTATGCTGAATTCAGCAACAGATTGCCATGGTGAGAGATAAAAAGGAGGAAAGACAACCTTTGATTCCACCCATTCATAAGCTTCTTTGACCAGCTTCTTGTCCCAACCAGCTCTGCAAACAAATTCCTCACTTGCTCTACTGTAAAAGCCCCCATTTATAGCTGATGACCCCCCCAGAACTCTTCCTCTCACATTGCCAACTCCATCCTGTGATATGAAACTTTGTGCCACTGACATGTATTTGTCAGTCTCAAGTAATGGAATTCCATAGTTCCTCCTTTCTATCACCAAAGGATTCCCATACGGTGAACCACCCCTTTCTACAAGCAGCACAGAGAATTTCTCTGATAGAGTAGCAGCTAATGGACAACCACATGTGCCTCCACCCACTATAATATAGTCATAAGACTTCCCTGCTACTTCCTTTACATCAGAAGTCATGTGCCATTGCCTAACATTGCCTACGAAGGGAAATCAAGTGAAAATTGTTTCAAGCTCAATAAGAAAACAAAGAAAAATTATATACAACTTACCTGGAGGCTCAAAAGGAAAAGACAGAACCAAAGTTGCAAGAAGAAACAACAAAAATGCTATGAGAAGCCTATTGACTTGGTTAATTTGTGGAAGTTCCATATTACAATGAGCTAATGCTTGACTAGTGAGGAAGTTGTTGATTTTATGTGCCAAAATGTGGGCTGTGCAAATCATTTTCTTTCTCTTGGCTGGTGACACCAATTGATTAAAGTTTACACTGCATAAAACATTTAAAAAATGCGCATGGTGTTACTAATAATTCCTTCTTCCTTTGTTGGCCACAACCGTTGTCTGTTACGGGCATGATGTTTTTGTCTAACCTTGAATTTCATAGGTGGTTGTGATATCAAAAAAGAGAAGGTTTTGTTAAAATAATATTTCGTGTGAATTAAGTCCACACAGTTTTTTGAAGATCAAGGCTAATGATTCCATTCAATCAGTGTTTTTAGTTTCTTAAATCCATCAAAATATCACTTTGTTAGCATGGTCCAAGAGACTTTTTTACGTTAACCAAAGTGAAAATTATTACAAAGTGTGGGCATAATTGCATGTGGGTAAAAATGGAATAATCTATGATGTGGGCTGTAACAATAATAATTATGCATGTAGACATAATTAATGATCTGCTTAATCACATTATAAGTATTCCATTGCATGATGATATGTTTGGAAGAAAAAATAAAGTGAGTGGAAAAGGTGTCACGTGCCTCGCATACGACCATATATGTATTCCATTGTTGACTATGAATATGATAATGAATGAAGGGACCCAGAGGAGTGAGTGTGACTCTTTCATTTCTATAACTTTTTATACAAGTAGTAAATGAAATGATTAAGACTTAATTATTGAGACAACTGAGTTTAAGTATCTAATTCTAATAATAGTATTTACTTTGCCTTTATGCATTATTTTGTAGTACAGAATAAGATGAATTAGCTGCAATTTAGAAAGTATTTTACAATATCATTCATTGTTCACAAACATTTAATCAATATCAATTTTTTTAATCTTTTTCTTTCAATCACATCATATTAATTATATATTCTTTCTAGTTGTTATTTAGAATTTTGGATATTTATGTATAGTTATTATTTTTCTATGCATAATTATTTCAGTTCAATATAACAAAAAATTTAATATATTTTATTTTTTGTATAAAAAAAAACAGTAGTAAATACCAAGATTTTAATTCTGAGTTTTCCTTACAATCTCATAATGATTAAGGTAATTAAATAAATGTTTGATCTTTAATAACTAACATATATATTTATTTAAAGAAAAAATAACTTTAATGTGTGTAATGATCCTTTGAGATAATTCCTACATACTAAACACATTCTTATTAAATATGTAATGAACCTAACTCTTAGAATTCATGTGAATATTCTAATTTCATACTTTTAACTACACATTAACTGGATGCTCATTTTACATTAAATTTTTTTTCTTAAATAGAATATATCAATTCTTATTATATTAAAATAACTATTTACCCCTTTTTTCTTAATTGAATTCTTTTAATTATATTGTTTTTATAATTATAATTAGGTTATATCTTAGATTAATAATATACTAACATTCAATTCTTTAATCTAGTCATAAGTAAACATTCATTCATCATTAAAGGACTAAAAGAAGATTTCTTATTACTTGACCATGTAATTTATATTTGAATACTGTTAAACCAATTTCAAACTGCTAAGAAAAGCAGTGGCTATAGAAAACTAGTTTTAATAGATATATGTTTTCAAATTTTTTTTATTGAATTTTCAATTTAGTATAAAACGTTTTAAAATAATAACTCATAAATCATAAATTTTAATCAATATACTATTAATCACAAAAAAACTGTTTCTCAGAAAAAATAGTTTTACAAACTATTTGTAATACATCTCCATTATATATATATATATATATATATATAATGGGTTTTTCTACTTATAGCTATTTTCCTTTTGGTGAATCGAAAAGGGTTGTTAGGGTTAGCCGTTACTAAAGTGTAATACTGATCTCAACCTTTTTTAAAAAAAAAAACTCGTAACAACCATCTTAAGACACTGTTAGGCTTTGTGCTTTCTTTTCTTAGTTAAGGTTTCATTGATTTTGTTGTAGTTAGATAGACAATGAAAATATACCAATTGACTTTTCTATTACTTTAATAGGCGAGTAATTTTAGTTTCTGCAGTTTTAATTCTTTAATTTTAGTTTGTTTATTTAAAAAACAGACAATTTTCATCTTTGTATCATTACCAATTTGATTTTAGTTTAATAGTTAAGAAATAGACAATTTTAAGATCAATATTTGTTTATCATCTAATTTTGACACATATGATATGTGATAAACACTACACATTGTAAATCATTAGCAAGTATTAGGTAAGTAGATTTAAGCTAATATACTAATTCTACTTATATGAAGTCATTTGGGTGTTTAAAAAAAAGGGTGAAAGTGTTCTTAATCCACATATATGCACAGTCTTGGATTCCTAAGAGATAATCATTAGAAACCAACAAAATAATTTATGAAAGAACTTGCAGAGATTTATCTATTTATTAAATGGTGTTGAAGGATATGATTATTTAAGAAGAGAATGTCGTTTTCATGAGAACAAACTTCTTTTTCAATTAATTTTATTTATGGTTTATTTAAACAAACCAAAGGGCTGTAAGATGCTCATGAACTTGTTTAATAACAGTGTTCCACATCTAAACATGATATGGATAATGCATTCATTGTAGAGTTAAGGAAGAACATATCATATAATTTAACTAAGTCAATTATTCAAACAACAAGGTTGCCTCCTAATAATCGACAACATTATATCAATAAATTAAAGTTAGACCTCATCAATCAATTATATTTTTCAACTGCATAAGTTTTTTTTTGACTCATCATTCATTCATTCCTTAATTGTTTCCTTTTGTCCACAACTTATGCTCATCACACATCATTATATATAGGTCATAAGTTTCTTTCTTCCCTTTAGACAGTTCAAGTAAACTTACCAAGTAACTTTATTTGAACAACATGGCTAATGTGCCTTCCTAACACCACAGTTTCAGTGAGTTACTTGGAGGTAAACAAGGGTTCAAATTGGAATAATACGGATCATTGTTAGACGTTACCAACACATTTTGGTAGGGCCTTTAGAAGGCGCTAATAATTCAACCAAACCAGTGGGTACCATTACCAACTTGTAACAGCAGAAATTTGTTATTCTCTGGCCCAATATCAGCAACACCAATAGATGGCAAAAGAGAGAGAGTGCTTACTGGTTGGAGAGATATGCCTCACCTCACCATATCATTATACATGCCTAATACCTTTTTTCTTCACCAGGATATACAGTCAAATTCTTCTTTCTTTTCATTATAATCATAAAAGATATACATACTATATTAACAGATTTGTTTAATGACAGATTTTGCCGCATATATTATACATACATACATATACATATACATATATATAATATTAGGGAGTATGTAAAAACTATCTTCATGGTTCCCAAAAGTTTAAGCTGCAATTTAAGTCTAATGTTTTTGAAGTTGTTGAGTCGATGTCAATCTGGCATTGGCTGTTCAAGTCAAGCATTTCTGGTTTTCTGAACTTGTTGCCACTTCTTTTTCCACATGGTTGTTCAACAGCACACTTACCATCATTAGATTTTGTTGCTGCACTTCTCTTTCTCCCACTAGCCTCATTGCTAGAGCCTGTGTTGGATGCTTTATTCTCAGTGTGAAAGCCCATCAACGGCAATTCAACTGAAGCATTATTGGAGCTTTTGAACTCCTCTATCTCTTCCATTGACTGTTTCTCTTCCTTTCTCCCAGAGCTTTCAGAAGATGTTAAGGAACTTTCCAGTGAACACATAGTGCCTCTGTCTCTTTTCCTGTCCCCACAGCTTAAACTCAACCCTCTTGTCTCTGTTAGTTCTGAGATGGGAGAGCTTGGACAAGCATTGTTGATGATGGTGACAAGCTGGGAAAGTTCAGCTTTTGTGAGCTCTATCCCCACTGGGGCAGAATTGTATCCAGCAAGTGCTTCCTGTGCCTTCTTTAGCACTGATTGCAAGTATTTCCCTTGAGCTTCAATTCGGAGCTTCAAATGTTTCTGCACCTGAAATCACCATCCAAAATGATTCACATGTCTTTATGCATCATTCAGAATTGAAACAAGGGCAAGGTTTTTAGAAGATGATCAACAATCGCCATTTTGGCTGCAACTTCAAATATTTTTTCAGTATATATGATCACATTTTGCATATCAAGGAACATTACAAAACAGCAATCGTGGCCACAGTTTTAAAACCTTGATACGAGCAAGTTTAAATTCATAATCATATCTAATGTGCTACCTCAATTTGTTCATAAAGTTTCCTTTGTACTTCCATTTGCATTTGGAGGGCCTGAGCTATCTGCATGTTTCTGGTAAACGAACACAGAACTTGACGAATTAATTCTCTAGGAAATACTATTTCTATGTGAGACACGAAGTCTTTGAAAATAAAATAAAAATATTTGATTAATTTCAAATTATTACTCAGTAATTTGATTCTGGGCCCCAAGACTGATTTCCCTGCTGCAATGGCCATCACTGCTCTTGGTTTCTATGTAATCTGCACCAAAAAAAGGAGATACTATGCCAAGTGAGATAAATACTAATCATGCTATTTTGCTGTTGAAGTAGACACACTACTAGTCACCTTCTTGTTTGCTGTCAGAGCTGGTATCTAGTTGTTGGCTTTTCCCAAGTCTATATTTCTGTAATCCGAAACAGAAAAAATGTCACAACTTATGATTTCCATGTTCAGTGAAGGAAAAACAAAGAATTATAATATCATTACAAAAGGGGAATGAATGCCTGTAAATGGCTCTTCAGGTGGTACAAAGTAAGTCCTGGAATCCCCAACACCCTCATAAGACTCTTTGGAGTTGCTTCTGCCACAAGATGCCAGTGTGAAAAATAGTATCAGATAAGATGTACTACAAAATCTAATGATAACAATGATAGTAATAGAAATACTAAGGTTTATGAAGTTTGTGTTATACTCACTATCTGCACCTCCAAGCTGATTTGTGGCCTCAATGAACCGTTGGTGAAGTTCAGGAGTCCACTTCAGCCTTGGTTTGGCATCAGTGGACAACACAAAATGCATGCTCTGATTTTGCATGTTTTGTAGATCCATTTGCTATTTATGGAGGAGTTACTACTTACTTACTGGCAAAGGACTGAAAAATATGTCTTTTGATCCTTTTAGCTATGCATCAATATGTGCCAGCTATAGTTCTCTTTATAACTTGGAGTTGGTTGTGTTGTTCTATGATCTCACTCCATATCAGGAAACATGAGTGGGGTTATGTTGGGGGAATATATGCCATGAGATGTGGTTCTTCCTCTCTCATCCCATTTCATACCAACTTTTTCTTTTTTCTTAAAAAAAAAATTCCCTCTATTCTTTCTTCTTTGACTTGAATGGGGAGGAGAGAATCTCTGATGCAGCAATAACAGGGAAAGCAAAACAGCCCAATTTTGAGTCTTAAAAGGAGAGAAAAGAGGGAAAGTGTGTGGTTTGTTTTTATCTTTCTGTTTTCTCACTTCACAATCTCCCTCTATGGTTGATTCCCTACTGAATTAGGTAGGCCCACCATAATGAATAATAGGGTACTACTTTCCTAATGCTGTGAGAAAAACTTTGAGGTAAAATAAAAATCATGGGCATGCCGTAAACCAGTTCAGGATATTTTCATCTTGCAATCAAAAGTGAAAAAACTGGACCAACTAATCTTATTTCAACTTTCATTTCTAAAAGGAGATTTTCTGACAGTTATTTTTCCTATGAAGGAAAACTAATTTCAAGCCCAAAAAATGATCATGTTATGGAAAAAATATAACTGTTCATTTAAATACATTATTCCAAACTTATATTCTGAAACAAAAAAAAAGTGGAGTCAAATACTTTAATTATGTTTTTCTTTCATGTAGTGTTTGTTTGTGGTGGCATTGGAAGATTCTTTTTGTTCCATGTAGGGATGGAGGAATCAAAGAATCTAGGATTGGATTTTTGGACCCAGAGTCCCCATGTTTGTACAAAGAAAGTAATGTAGAAGAAAGAGAACTAATCAGGCCTGTTCAAAGATCAAGATGGAGCTGCTATGAAAAGGAAACTAATAAAATACTTGCTTGTTCAAGACACTTAACAGGTAACAATTAATTTGTTACATTATCCTTGCAAAGGAATCGCAACCCCCAAGTTCATTAAGGGACCATCACCACAGTTCAGTGCTTGTCATGACATAACTAAGCACTAACCCAATCAATCAGTGGGGTCATATGTATATATATATATATATATAAATCCATCATTGATTGTAAAGCTGTATTCCATCAAGGAATTGAACCTTAACAAAACATGCATAATATAAGAGTCTACAGCACACACAGATCAAAAAATTTCTATTCCAATTGTGTTGTACTTAGAAGTTCCTCCACATGTTGCTGTTGGCTGCAAGGCAACAAAGTAACTAATGGGAGTAAAAATTATTAGTCAGAAGGAGATGACAGAACATACATATGTGGCTGTGCATGCAGATGCAGTTAACTTTTCTTTGTAATATGAATTATTAAGCAAGCCATCTACAGGGCTCACTCATCCATCACAGAAAGAATTTATTCTAAAGGGAATGCTTGCTTTAATGCTGTGATATATATCCAAGCTGAGGAGAATAAAAGAAGTTTTGGCCAAAAATAAAAGGAAAAAAGAAAAGGGTAAAGGGGGTTTATAATGGCCAACAACAAATTGTAAAAGTCAATTCAAGCAAGCCACTCTTCACAGTCTTCTTAGGGTGGCGTTAAGAGTTTGATCACTATAATCAAAATTCAATTATTTGGCCTTAGAAACACTACCATTCCAGTACCATGAAATCCCATGAATTACTCAACAGTGTACCATGATTCAAAACTGAGGAAAATCGACCCCAATTTACTTTAAGCTATCCATTGGAAGAGCAATAACACTTCCACACACATGCACTACACTGGTTAGTTGACTTAGCACGATTCAACTGCTAGTGGAATGTAAGACACAATATTTGGTGTAAAAAACTTAGAAATCCACTAAGAAACAGTTATGAATTCAGATAAGTTTACAATAAAGGGTAGGGTGGGTCCTCCAAGACCAAGAGGGAGAAGGGTAGGTTCTTCCTATGTAAGCATATGCTGCTGCTTTGTGTATGTATCGAAATACATTCAACTGTAGTGGGAAGCTTGGCTGAGATTGGAAGAAAGGAATATTATTATTATTATTATTATTATTGATTGATGACACGTATTTGTGGTGAGTGGAGCAAAGGTTTGAAAGAGAAGGAAAAAAGAGGGAGAGTAATTGCAAGAGGTTAGTCTTTAACAGGTGGTGTACTTGAAGCTCCTTTCTTGCTTTAATATATTCCACAACAGGTAAAGGAGATTCCATGATGATGCTAAATCCAAAGGGACCCCGGTATTTTTATTAGATCAGTAGGAGAAGGTCCGGTGAATCAAAAGTCATTTAAGCAAAGTTGCCTCATCAATTATTACTCTTTTAATGGACCCATCAAGGAAGATCTCACAAATCCAAAAGCAGTGAAAGAAGATGAGAAGAATGTGGCCTCAGGAATCACAAAAAGAGAAGCAAAAGGAACTTGTCAACGTCCCACCATAGAATAATTCAATTTTACTGAAACAAAAACATTTTGTCAAACATAACATGCTCACTTCCTCAAAATGACGTGAGCCATATGTCACTAGGTAAATGCAGGACTTCAACCTAGACTGGTAGAGTAGGCATGAAGCATAGCATTTTCTTTTCTTTTTATCTGCAACATTGCTATTGCTACATGCTTTTTTCTCCATTTCCTTTGCTTAATCTGTGTCACCACAACACCGATGAAAAACCAAAACCAAGACATATTCCGGACAATTAGGAAACTTTAACATCGTATATTCAGACCTATAAGGTGCCATAATTGTATATAGGTTTCAACAGATCAGGTCATGAAAGGTACCTCAGTTTCATCTCAGGACATGGATTCGTGGAAAGTGATAAGAATGGTACAGTTTTAAGGGGAAAAGTGAGTATATAGGAGCTCTAACTAGGCCTCCCCATGTGCTCCAAAATTCCCCTAAAGGGACACTTAACCTATTGTTTTGTATCATCAAAGCATTCTCTATCAGACCAAAGTATGAACAATGCTTCCATCTTCTTGAAGTTTTGCAAATAACTTATTCACATCAAGAATGTTCTCTCAGGCTCAATCCTAGTCTATCTCCAGTTAAAATGGCCCACTACGCATCATCAAAGTAAACACTGTCACAACACTCAGTGCTTCAAATAATTGAACTAGGTGGATGACATAAAACGCATGTATACCAATACCATCCAATTACATCATGCAAATATATATCCCAGGTTCATCAAACACCATGTACAAGAAACAGATATTTTGACATGGGATGTTACAAATTACTCTATGCGTTTTCATGGGATGATACCAACTAAAAAACGTTCTCTCATTTGAACTTGCCTAATACAAAAGTTACATGTAATCATGTGAAAATTATTAATTACATATTCAAACTCTGAAACTTGCAAATTGAAAAACTACAGATTATAACCAAGAATACAGTTTCTTACTCTATCTACAGACCCCCGACCCCCTGCACGACTACAGTTGTTAAACACTGAATGAATGCCACAGATTCATTGATTTCTGGAATCTTATTGGGGGAAACACACACTTGTGCAACCATCCAACGTCTTTCCCGAACTGCCTGAGAAGACAAAAAGAGAATCGTACCAGAATATTCCCCACGTATGTAATTCAGCCAAACCATCACATTTTTTCTGGGCCTCTGCCACACCAATTTCATAGTAATTTAAAGAGCACTGCATCAGAAATTTTCAGAATTAATTTGTTTTCTTTTTTTATTTGGAAATTACCTTCAAGTGGTAATTCTTTTAAAACTTGAACAAAATTGGTAATTTTAGTGTTAAATTGCTCCAAATTAATAAAAAGACCTATAATTAATGTTACCTTACAATATCCATATAGTTCGACAATTTAGTACATATCTGATTCAATTTTTCTAAAAAAAAGTTATTTGAAAAAAATCTTACATGAAGTTAAAAGTTAATCTAAGCAGGCATTTGCACCGCTAATGACAGGGTATTATGAAAATATTTCTCTTTTTAATTTATAGGATGTTGCTTGGATTTAAATTATTATCTAATTTATTTAAGTTTAACATATGTTACCTTTAAATTAAGAAATTTGTTTTCTCTTTTAATTAAGAAATTACTTTCAAGTTGTAATTTTTTTAAAACTTGGATCACATAGGTAATTTTAGTGTTAAATTGCTCTAAATTAATAAAAAAACTTATGATTAATGTTACTTTAAAATATGCATAGTTCAACAATTTAGTACATATTTGATTTAATTTAAAAAAAAAACGTTTCTTTGAAAAAAATCTTACAAAAAGTTAAAAAACAATCTAAACATGCATTTTCACGGCTAATGACAGGGTATTAAGAAAATTCTTGTCTTTTTTAATTTATAGGATGTTGCTTGGATTTAAATTATTATCTAGGTTATTTAAATTTAACATGCTACCTTTAAATTAGGAAATTTGTTCCACTTTTAATTCGGAAATTACCTTCAAGTTGTAATTCTTTTAAAACTTGGACCACTTTTGGTAATTTCAGTGTTAAATTGTTCCAAATTAATAAAAAAATGTATGATTAATGCTACTTTAAAATATGCATGATTCAGCTATTGAGGACATATCTGATTGAATTTTTATAAAGTGAAAGGTTCTTTGAGAAAAATCTTATAAGAAGTTAAAAATTAATGTAAACACGTACTTGCCCCGTTAATGACAATATATTAAGAAAATAATTGTCTTTTAATTTATATGATGTTCCTTGAATTTAAATTATTATCTACTAATATATTAAGAAAATAATTGACTTTCAATTTATATGATCTTCCTTGAATTTAAATTATTATCTCGATTATTTAAATTTAACATGTTACCTATTAAATTAGGAAATTGTTTCCTCCTTTTATATTAAGATTTAAGATTATAAATAGAATATTGTATTAGTTGAAGAATCAACCTATTTGTTTTTAGGAAAAAGAAAAAGTTTTCAAGTTTGTCTAAAAAAATATATAAATTATTTGTCATTTTTTAAGAATTTTTATACTTTTAGAAAATATTAGTACATAGTATTTGTAAGAGTCTATAAAATCATGTTTTAAAATTGATAGTTTATTCTAAATAATAAAACTCGGTTATTATAGTATTAAAAGTTCAACGTATAAATAGAATTTCTATATACGAGTTTTATTATCTAAAAATGGACTATCTTTCTAAAACTTTTTCTCTAAGAGTTCTCTACTCTTTTTCTAAGTTTTCTAAACTCATGTTTATTTGGTTGAAGATCAAATACCATCTGAGTGATCTTTGAAGTGAGATCTTCAACTTCATCTGATTAGTTTTTGCAAAAGAGTAATTTAATTTCTGTTTTTTCCCTTAGTTTGAGTCAGAACCCTTAATTTCTGTAGAGAAAGTGGAAGCCAGGTAGAGGGGTGAGAATTTAGAAATTCAGAAAGTGAAAGACAGGTGTGAGCAACAGAGTAGACCGATCGGTTTTTGACGGTAGTATATAAAGGAAAATTTTAAAATCTGGTGCCACTCTCTGCATGCAACTCATCTTTCTAAAATTTTGAAACCTTCTTTTCTCTTCCTTCTGTCTAACTTTTCTCTA